CTTAGTGTCTTTCAACCTAGGTGACTTGTCTTCTGGCACTATATCCAACACTATTTTGTCGTGATTCACAGGATTTTCATTGCATCAGAAGTTAATTGGCAGGCCCTTCTTCCTAGTTTGTCTTAGTCTGGAAGCTCCACTGAAACCAATCCACGATGGTATTTGAAATGCCAGTGGCATATCTTTGAGTATCATGTTGTTGTTAAGTGCTATCTAGTCTGTTCCGACTCATAGCGACCCTATGTAAGGTTTCTGAGGATTGGCTGATGAGTTTGAACCACCAACCTTGTGATTCAAATAGACCTTGCAGTCAAGCACATTATCCCACAGCGTCACACTAGGATTCATCCAGTTTCATAGCAACATGATAAACTAACAGACAAGTAGTGGTTTTGAACATGAAGTATGGTTAAAAGATGTGTAGATGGATATCAAACTGACAAAGGTTGGACTGTGGTGGTTGTGCATTGTGTCAGTTTAGGAAAGCCAGAGATACATTTCCCAGAAATATATTTCAGGAAAGCCAGAGTATATTTCCCTATGCTGCACAGAGAACCATAAAGGAAAGGAATTCCTTTATGGTTCTCTGTGCAGTTATCAATAATAGAAAGTTGTAAAAATAATCAGGAGGCAAAAGTGAAGCATCAGCCATAACTCCTGGAAGGTCGGTGTACAGTACCTGGTATCACTGCAATTTGTGCATATTGTCATTAATCTGTTTCGTCCCACTATTGGTTAGGGGCAGCAACAGGATCTGCAACTGCTCCAGCATCTCTTGAGTTTTGCGCAGCTTGATGGCAAAAGGCTCAAGCTTCTTCTGAAAATTATGTGTCATTGAGTTAGATGTGATGACAGATATGTTTCAGTTTTTCACCACTTTGCATCCAACTTGTTATCCTATCTGCCATCCCTGCTGACAGCGACTTCAATTTCATAAATTTCTTTTACCACATCCCCTTCGTGGTCACTGTTTAGTGACTTTTCTGATCCTATAACCATCCCTCCTGACCTTTACTTCCCCATCTTCTTGCACAACTGGGTAAAAGTCTAATCCTTGAAAGTCCCTTATTCTTTATCACTGTAGTTCTGCTTCTTTCATCAAATGGGAATATGAGAGCTATTTCTCCTTATATCTCTGCCCTACCACTCCCATAGTTTTCCTGGTAATACTTATATTATTTTTTCATATGCCTAGAATCAATTTATGTTTGAATATTTAAATGTTTGAATATTTAAACTAATAATGTCTTAAATGTGTTAAAAATCTACACATTTTAAACATTATTAGTTTAAAATGTATAGATTTATTTCAAGCATATCCGTAGATTGAGTCCTCTGATGTAAGGAAGGGAATGCTTTCTAAATATCCAAGTCTACTTTCCTATCTTTCCAAAGTGTTTCCTTGATATGAATGTTGTACTTTTTGTTAAGTTTATTCCCAGGCACTTATCTTTTTGTTACTGAAGGCAGGGTATCCCATATTATTTAAGTTTAAAGTTTGCTCTCCAACACAGGAAAGAACATTGAAAACAGTGGGAGTCCTGGTTCTCAAGCTTCTACATGGTGTGGTGGAAAATGCATGGCTCTGAAACCAAACAGACAGGATTCAGCAAATGACTTACGGTCCTGGTACCCAATTTCACTTCTGTAGAATGGGGATAAAATTACCCGTCTGACTGCTGTCTAGGGTTGTGAGTCGTTGTATGTAGAGTACCTACTATGGTTCTTGACTCATAGTAGATGTTAGTTCCCTTTCCTCCTACAGGAAAATGCATCATTTAGTTACTTACTTGGCACCCCGAGTCCTATTCAATGATTTAATAGACCTGCATCTCTTAGATGTTATTAAACGTGATAGTTATTTTTACCTGGTTATCACATCACTGCCACCTTCTGGGTGATTAGACGCACACAATTCAAACTTGAGGTTTGTTCTATCCTTATCTTTGTGATGTCTTGCTTGGTAAATTATAAGTTCCCATAAGCCATGTTTCTAATTAGATACTAATAATTATTGTAAAGCATATTTTTTTGAGAAGAGAAAGTAATGATGATGGAAAAAGTGATCAACATTATTCTAAGCATAAAGTAGACGTTTTAAAAAAGGAGTAATAAGGGTTTTAAAAAAATAAGTTGTGACAGCTTGCGCACTAAAGGGGAGTTTATCATTGAAAATCCAAACAATCCATTACTGTTGAGTCAATTCTGACTCATCATGACCCTGCAAGATGTTTCAAAGACTGTAATCTTTACAGAAGTAGTCTGCCACATCTTTCTCCCATTGAGCAGATGGTGGATTTGAACTACCAACCTTTTGGTTAGCAGACAAGCCCTTAACCATTGAACCACTAGCTCTCATTGTTCAGCACCAAATCCACAAGATCACAATGAGGTTATATGTGATTTACTAGTGCAGATCAGGAAATAAGAAAACTACTCTTGGAAAAGGTAGAAGGGGATGTGGTAAAAGAAATTTATGAAATTGAATTGACATTAAAACAAAAAGAGATGCCATGAGAAGATGACATAAGCTCTTGCAGATTTTCACTGACTGATTGGTTAATATGCCTGATGTCATCACTAGTGGCTCTATAGTACTTTCAAATGCCTGCCACCTTGCCAGTGGCTTTATTGTTGTTGTTAGGTGCCGTCAAGTCGTAGCAACCTTATGCACAGCAGAATGACCTTATGCACTGCCCGATCCTGGGACAACCTCACTATTGTTGTTGGTGCTATAAAGTCAATTAATGTACAGCCGAAGGAAGCACTGCCTAGACCTGTGCCATCCTCAAAAGTGTTGTTATGTTTGAGCCCATTTTTACAGCCTCTATATCAATTCATCTTGTTGAGGGTCTTCCTCTTTTTTGCTGACCCTCTGCTTTACCAAGCATGACATACTTCTCCAGGGTCTTATCTCTCTTGATAACATGTCCAAAGTAAGTGAGAAGACGTCTCACTATCTTCACTTCTAAGCAGAATTCTAGCAGTGCTTCTGCCAAGACAGATTTGTTCAATTTTCTGACAGTCCATGGTATATTAAATATTCTTCACCATCAACACCAAATTCAAAGGGATCAGTTCTTCTTCGGTGTCCTTATTCATTGTGCACCTTTTGTATGCATCTGAGGTGATTGAAAATGCCCTGGCTTAAGTCAGACATACCTTAGTATTCTAAGAGACATCTATGCTTCTTAAAGAGAACTTTTGCAGTAGATTTGCCCAATGCAGTAAAGTCATTTGATTTGTTGACTTCTGTTTCTATGGGCATTGATTGTGGATCCAAGTAAAATAAAATACTTGATAATCTCATATTTGCTGCATTTATTATATTTCTTATTGGTCCAGTTAGGGATTTTTGTTTTCTTTATGTTAAGGTGGAATCATCTATACTGAATACCATAGTCTTTCATCTTCATTACTGTCTCAAGTATCAGTGGCTACTACTATGGCAGTCAACTGCCACTATGAGAAACTAATAGGAAGTTGTGGCTGACTCTGCAGAAGACATCACAAATTAAGTGGAAGGTTGAATGCCCTGAGAACAAAGTCAAATGAACAATTTTGCCAGCAGAGAACTTGTTCTGACTTCTCAAGGGCTGAAATACGCTAGAATAAGATGCAGTTGAAAAGCTTTCAACTGGGGAGAAATGTTACCAAATGAATGACATGAAAATTACATGTCCTGTTTACAAAACAATTCACATGCTCTATTTTCTTCCTCTTTCTAAGATACAAGTCAAGAAATACTTTCGGTAGGATATGCAGGATCCGGGCCCCCCCACCCCCTTTTGTTTTCTTAACACCACCCTTTCTCATTTTCTCCAGTGCATTCCCTCACTGCTTTCTTGGGTTGTCCCCCTATTCATTGCCAAATTCAGTCCCCCACTCTGCCCCTCTTGCCGGGTATAGTGCCAGGACTGCACCTGCCAGGGAGCGTCAGAGTCTGGGCAGCCTAGGGGCAGGCGGTGACGTAGTGCTGAGAAGGTGCCCGCGAGGCCCGCTGTCGTCACTGCAGCAGTCCGGAGCGGAGCCCAAGAATGGGGATTCTAGGAAGGAAAGACATTCGTGACCCCAGGGCGTGCTCAGCACTGAAGCAGAGTGCTTTGGCTTTTGGGGGTCGAAGGGCTGGAATCATGTCTCTAGGGCAGGTTGAGCTCATCCCACACCTTCAGTACGTTAGAACACAACAGTTTAGTGATGAGGGGGGAAAGGTCCCCAACAGTGAGAGCCTCCTGCGCACGCGCCTTGGGGGATGTGTGGGAGAGGTCTATGGGTGAGACTGGTGAGAAGACGAGTTTGTGGGGCGAGAGGGGACTGCGGAAGAGCTGCCAGGCTGCGGAACAGAACCAGTGCTCACGCCCTCCTTTGCTGGCCAGTCCCCCAGGGCACTGCGGCGGCAGCTACGACGGAGGCGCGGGGGCGGGGCCTGCGGCACGGCGTCCTGACGTCAATGTGGCGGAGGCCGTGGTTGGCGCTGGGTCCGCGGCTGCAAAGTGTGAATTACGCCGGGCTCGCGCCGGCAGCGGAGTGAAGTCAGGCTCAGGAGGAGAGGAGGGGCAGGACTCCGGTGGCTGCAGCGGCCCGAGCTGGTCCCTGGTCCCAAGCCCGCGCGCTCTGGGTCTCTTCGCTGGCTCCAGCCGTCTTTTCTTGCCACTGCTTTGCTCCGTCCCTGCTCTGCTCCTGCTCCGCTGTCCCCTGGACCCTCCTCTGGCTGCGGAGCTCTGAGCGGCTGGGTCCCCCCTCCGACTTTGCTTGTGCTGCCCCAGCTTGCACCCCGTGCCCCCTCGCCTGGAGCGGTTGCACGCTGGTCCTTGTAATTGTCGCTGCAGCCGCCGCAGCACCTTCCAGCACCGGCCCGGGCGAAGGGGCGGGTGTGGGAGGCGTGAACGCGGCTTCCCGGCCCGGGGTCAGCGTCCCCTCTCTGCTCTGCCACCGCCTCGGCCGGGTGCCCCGGAGCCGCGGCCCCCTCCTGCAGGGCGGGTACAGGGAGGGCGTATTCAATGGAAGTATGTTACCAGCTGCCGGTGCTGCCCCTGGACAGGCCGGTCCCCCAGCACGTCCTCAGCCGCCGAGGAGCCATCAGCTTCAGCTCCAGCTCGGCGCTCTTCGGCTGTCCCAACCCCCGGCAGCTCTCACAGGTAATCGCCCCGCTGCCACCGCCGGGGCCCACACTTGGGGGGCTTCTCTTTTGTTTCCCTCTTCTCATCCAGCTTCACCTCCGTGACATCTCCTGTCCTCGCTGCTCACCCCAGACCCAGCATTGCCCATTGTTTCGGGATTTCTAGTCCGCTCCTTCAATTCAAGACCCATTTCTTTTATCCTCGCAGTGGTCCGCCCTCAGTCCCTTGGCCTCAGACCCTTCCCAGGCCCCTCATTCTCTGCTCCCAGCGGCGTGAGCCTCACAGAATGACTGTTTTCCGCCTTTACTCACCATTTACCTTGGGCCCCTCTTCCTTGTCTGTGGCCCTCAAGCACACCTGTCCCCCTCTGGCACACCTGTCCCCCTCGGACACACCTGCCTCTGCTCTTGCCTTGACTCCCTCATCTCTGGCGCGCCTGCCTGGAGGTGCTCGGACGGTCCCCCAGTTCCCGGGACAGTAGGCCGAGATGCTCTGCTTTTTCCCTGGACTCTTTGGATTCTGTGGGATGGACTTTAAGCGGTAACAGAGAAACAAGTACCAGGAGTGCTCTAGGGTACTTGTCTCTGCAAAGTTGGTAGCCAAGAATCGCTTTGTTTTTAATTTGAGACGGAAATTTTAGGAGAGAAACTGCTGATGAGCACTCACAGGAAGACATTGTTTTGAATACTAGTTGCTCCAGAGAATTTGTGGGGGGTTTTCCTACAGTGGTGCTGTTGGCCTAATTCTTTAGTTCTTGCTCATTTTGGTAGTCTGTTTTTAAATAGGAAGGCAGAAGGAATCTCATTGTGTACATCTGAACTAAGTGCCCTCACTTTCGGCTGCAGAAGGTCCCGTGAACATCTTTTATTCAGGTCGATTTATTTTTCAAAGTGGTTAATATTAATAATCTTTGCAGCAGTATTTTTTTTTTTTTTTTTGCTCCAGTTATATTGCAAGCATCTTTAACTGGAGCTGCATTAATTTATTTAATTATTTTTACAGATAGTAAGGACTGCACCTGGTAGAGGTTTTGCTTCTAATAGCTGCCTGTAAATATTTGTCATTTGTCTCTTTCCCTGTAGTGTTAGAAGAGAGAAAAAGAGCTTATATTTGGCTTTTTTGCTGGATGGTCTTTATTTTAAATCAAACTTCTATCACAGCGCAAGGTAGTATGCACGTGAAGCCGACCCAAGTTTGGAAGAACTGTTGTAATATTACATAAGGTTTTAAATAATATTACGTTATTTATTTTTTTAATTAGGTGTGTGACCTACCTTAATATTACTACCTAAAGCATTTTCCGGTTACAAAAGCAGTGTTTAAGAGCTATTAATACACTTTGGAAAGAGGTTTTTTAATGGAAATTAATGAAAGATTTCTAATGGTAATAACTTTTCACTTCTAAATATTATTTTAGCTCCTTAGATCAGCAGGTACATGACTAATACTCATTGAGTTCAGTCTAAATAATTAGGCAATCACTGATTCCCCTGATCAATCGTTTATAACATTATAAATATGAATAAAGCTACTGTACTCCCTGAAGAGAAAATGAGCAAGATGGGAGATTCCAGGGAATTGAGCAGGTAAGACTAAAGGCAGAGGTTTTACCTGATGTCTTAATTAATCCACAGAGAACAGTTTGAAGTCCCAGTCCTTCTTGTCTAATTTCCTGGCCTTCATTTAAATGGGTAATGGAATTTTAAAAAAATGATTGTGGCAGACAAAGCAAATATAAAGAGTTTTACAATGTTTTATTAGCTGAGGATCTTTTTTAAAAAAATGTCTAAACCCAAAGTGAAGTAGGTAGGAACTTCTGAAAATTTAGGTAGAAATTTTCCTGAATTATGCTTTAAAATCAGTATTGGTCAATATTAAAATTATGGGCACCTTACTGTGGTACTGAGATGGGGTATATTTATTGTTATGAAGACTCAGTTTCATTTTATAATAAGGCATGTTTTGATACAGATTTCTGAGGATTAAATGGGAATTTGTAGTGGGGGGGGCAAAAAGGTAGAAAATCTTGGAAACATATTCAGAGCTCTAAATAGCTCAAAATAATATTTGGCTAAATCAAAAGTATTCTTTACCTTGAAATTTCAGTTCTAAGCGTAAAGTGCAGAAACTACCAGAAGTTTAGGTTTTGTAATTTTCGTTTAAAAGAAATTTTTTTTTAAAAAAAAGCCTTTTTTCTTTAAGCCTTAAATAGAACAGCTATTTTTATTAGATCTTTCTCTCTTTAAAAGTATGTCCAAAACAATCTGTTACATTCTTTATTGTCACCATGGTCTGGGAGTCTAGCTTATGTTGTTGTTAGGTGTCATTGAGTTGGTTCCAACTCATAGTGACCCTCTGTACAACAGAACAAAACACTACCTGGTCCCGGGCAAAACACTGAGCAATATTCACTGTTGCCATGTTTGAGCCCATTGTTGCTCAAACCATCTCATCAAGGGTCTTCCTTTTTTTGCTTACCTTCTACTTTACCAAGCATGATACCCTTCTCCAGGGACTGATTCTTCCTGACAACATAATTGTTGTTAAGTGCCGTTGAGTCGATTCTGACCCATAGTGACCCTGTAGAGGGTTTCCAAGGAGCAGCTGGTGAGCTTGAACCACCGATCTTGCAGTTCAAAGGACTTTCGCAGTCTGACGCATTAATCCACAGCACCACACCAGGTCTCCTAGACAACATAGTAGGTATGTAGTAAATATTTGAATGAGTGAGTAGATCATGAAATTAACTTTGAGAATCTGGACTACTAACTACAAGGTCAGCAGTTCAAACCAAGCAGCCACTCCACAGGAGAAAGATGAATGTGTCCAGTAAAGATTTATATTCTTGTAAACCCTGTATAGGGTTGCTATGAGTCAGAATCATCTTGATGGCACTGGGTTTGAGTATCAATTCTAAGTTTGAATTCTTAGAACAGTACTAACTACTTTTCTATAACAGTTTAGAACTTGTAGCTGTAGAGTGTAACAGATCCAGAAAATAAACAGAAAAGACTGAGAAATAGATTTGGAGATGGTCTCAAAACTTGGGTGTTTTAAGACAAATTCTGACATTTTTGTTTTCTAAGTAGCAGCCAGAGTCAAGATCACACTGATAGCACCAAAAGTTCACAACTGGCACACCCAATTCAGGTATCAGAAAGAAAAATTCCTCAAAAGCCCCAAACCAAAAATCAAATCATCAGCCATTGAGGCAGTTGCGACTCATAGTGATCCTGTGTAGGGTTTTTGTAATTGTAAATCTTTACAGAAGCAGACTGTCTCTTCTTTCTCCCACATAACAATTGGTGGGTTTGAAATCCCCCCCCCCCCCACACACACACACCTGCAGTTAGCAGCCTATCACTTAACCCACAGCGCCCCCAGGCCTCAAAGCCAGAAACTTTTAAAAGGTAACCTGGGGGCATTTAGTTTCTATAAAGTTTAAATATTGAGTCAAAATAATGTTTTGTCAATTCAGATTCAGTGACCCTGTAGGGTTTTGGGTGCTGTAAAACTTTACAGGAGTAGAAAGCCTCATCTTTTCTTCCTCCAAGCAGTCCAGTGCTTATCCGAAATGTTTATTCCTTACACTTGTTATGTGCTCTTGAGTCCATTCCAACACATAGGGACCATGTATAGAGTTTCCAAGAGGACCTGGTGGGTTTGAACTGCCAGATCTTGCGATTAGCAGTCTAGTGCTTATCCTATATCGCCACACCGAGGCTGAATGTTTAATTGTTGTTAAGTGCCATCAAGTCAGTTCTGACTCATAGCAACCCTGTATAAGGTTTCTGGGGAGCGTCTGATGGGTTTGAACAGACAACCTGCAGTTAACAGTCCATTGCTTATCCTATAGCGCCACACCAGGACTCACAGTGTTTAATAGCATATGATTAAAAGGTGAAAGATTTGTACTTTCTTCTTTTTTAAAAACTTCCATGCCAAACAGGTCAAGTGTTAGTGCCTAAACAGACAAGCTTAAGTTTATGGAAAATCCATTTTTGTGCAATAGTGTTCTCCCAAAGATGCCAAATAAATAAAGTATTAACTTTAAGAAACAACAACAACAACAAAAAAAAAAACAGGCCATATAGTACTTTTTCAAATGGTTAATATGAGTTATTATTATATTATTATATTAAGGAAGGAATACCCAAGTTTCCTTGCTAAATCAGGGAAAGCCTCACCTAATATGTGATACTGAAAGAAGCCAATTTTTCTTATTTTGGGATACCTAATCATTGATAGCTGAATTTAAAGATTTTTCTTGCAGAAGGAAGTTTTTATCTGGAAAAAAAATATTGCATAAATATTGTTAGTTTTTGTTTACCATGGTGCTTTGTATAGTTCAGTACTCAGTAAGTTTGAAGTTGAGTTAGTGTTTAGAATTAGTAGTTTAAAAAAAAAAAAAAAAACACATAGAACCCTGCCAACCTAACCACATTTTCCTGTTATCCATTAGTATTCCTTCATATTTTTCAACCGTAGTGATAAGTGTATACACTCTTTTTATCAACAGTGTTTCACTTGTTGTTGGTAAGTACCATCGAGTCGTTTCTAACTCATAGTAACCTTGTATAGAGTTTCCAAGGAGTGGCTGATGAATTTGAACCAGCCAACCTTACAGTTCAAACCGACCTTGCAGTCCAGTGCATTATCCTACAGCACCACACCAGAACTCTGTGTATCACTTAGTACATGACAAACTATCCAGGTCTTGTATCTGCCAAAAGAGAGCCTGGTAGCTCTACATGGTATGCCCTGGACTACGAACTACACGGTCTGTGGTTCGAGCCCACCAGCTGCTCCTCATGAGAAAAATGAGACTTTCTGTTCCCAAAAATATTTACAGCCTTAGAAACCCCAGACAGTAGCACTGTGAGTCGGAATCGACTTAACAGCACTTAACAACAACACTATCTGTCAAAGCAGTTCAGAGTTTGTTCTTCTTACAAGAAGCTTATATGTTTGGGGTGAGAAAAATGAAATGGTTCTACATGATGTTATTACTGTGAGAA